CGCTGTCCGCTGTTGCTGGAGGGAACCTACCTCAAGTACCTTACTCCGTACTGTAAAAGGGAAGGACTTGCTAGAAGATACAAGTTACAACCACCCAAGTATCTCGAGGAGGAAGAGGGAGGAACGCACGCACGGCAACCTTAGTGGAAGGGGGAAGGGCGCCGCTGCCGGGAAGGGGCAAGGGGGGTGGAGGAGGGGAAATGACGCTGGAGAACACAGCCCGCCGTTGTCATGTCTTGTCCCTCTTGTAGATATGTACCCTTGGGTGCATCAGACACCCCATCATGGCTGGAGAATGCATCGCGTGGTACTTGCGAAATTGCCCATGATGATATTGCGACTCTCCACCGTGGTTGTGCGATGATCAATCTCTTTTGGGTCACCTCCGGGGATCATGTTGGGGGCCACTTGCCCCAATGTCCATGTTCATACTTCATCGCCCACCAGCAATGATGACTTTTTCTGGACGATCCACGCATAATGGTGGTGATAGTACCGAGTTAGGGGCTTTTTTACCGGTAGATGAGTCCGTACGTTATCACACCGTCCAACTATTCGTCCGTGGCCCAAAGCGTACGTACAACCACAGCTACTGATGCGATACCTTCGAAATGGCAGCGTCCCAGCGGATGGAGGGAGCCAGCTCAGACCATCCCAAGCACCAAACACTTGTTTCTTCTTCCCCGTTGGAGGGAGAGACAGGAGCTCAAAGTTATCCCCGTTGTCGGGCCTCATCCTCAAAGACCAACCCAAAGACCAACCCAAAGTTGCACAAGTGACTCAAGTCGAGGTTAGATAAGGCAAGTGCCGTTACATGGACGGGCAGCTCCCACAAAGCCAGAGATCGGTCAAAACAAGCTAACCCTGGTGGATACCGGAAGAGAGAAGCCTATCGCCATGGGCTAAAAGTCTCGTCCTACATGTTCATTTCCAGCTTGGAATGCCCGCGCCGCAGGTCCCTCCGAGTCCCCATCCATCCCCGGTCCAGCTGAATCTCTACAAGACTGAACTGGACTGGTTAACGTTGCTGGCAGATCGGTGTCCGGCCTGATTGGAAAAGGTCTGCAAAGGGGATAAGACACAATGGTCTTTTGCACGAGACAAATTCAAAGACACGGCACGATTCAAGACATACAGATGAATGTGCGGATATTCTACCTTGGACCCTGACTAACAAGGACTAAACGAGAAATATCCGAATGCCTCCTACTGATAATTATAGAGACGCAGAATCCTGATTCCCATCATCAAGATTGCCCCAACCTTGCTGCGCCATCAGCGTCTTGATGGGTAACTTGGTAAGTGGATTTCACTACCACATTACGCGGGTATTGGCAAGCACAGAATCAGGGTCAGGAACGGTTCATCACTGATGATACTTATACCCATTATTACACAGTATTTCGTAGGGAATTACCATACAGACTGGAGAGTAAACTGAGCTTTTGGAGGTAACCACTGCAACTTTGACGTTGTACGTACCGTCCCGGTAGACCGCGAATGATTCGCGGGTTCATCCACAAATCCTACCTAGAACCGCCCATTCGGCAGCGGCAAGGAAGTGCTCCTTTCTCTCTTGCCTGTCACTGGCAATTGCTGTTATTGCCGAAAAACAGTCTGCAGTCCATGGCTCCTCCCACGTCTCTCAGCTGAAAGATACATTGAATACTGCATTGAGAGACATGTACCTCAAATGGCCCTATCCTCTTCTACCTACCTACATCATCATCATTATCACATTGATTCCGTCAATCCATCGGCACATCCATCCCGTCCGCCTCACGTCGACATCCTCCTTCTCTTTGTTGCGGATAATGGACTTTCAGGAACCGGCCCTCATTCATGCAACCCTGCAGGCCCAGATCTCCAGGGCCAATGCAGCCTCCATCACCCCTGAGCAACTGTTCTACCCATGCCGTGATGGCGCGGCCTTTCCACTACCCATTGGTTCATCACACCTGGCGCGCGCTAGCAGCAAAATTCAAAGGTGGATTTGCTCCAGGGCCCGGCCTGTCACTCGACGGTGGCAGTGTCTGTGGGAAATGGGATAAGAATTGGAGACCGCGACAAGGGCCTCACTGAGCTTTGGGCATGGGCATATCCGGACAAGAGACGTGCCTTGCGGCTTGCCCTCCCTTCCTTCCCCTGCCCTTACTGACATGGATAGATTTTAAGCATGGTGGAGATGCGATTTGCTTGCATCCTTGCACAAGGGGGTGCCGGGTCCAGCTCGACAGTCGCCTACCTTTTCGAGACGAGTCCTTTCTAAGCCGCGGGATGCTGGCAGGCTGGCTGGCGAGCGCGGCAGGACGAGGCATTAGCTTTGCCTCTGCAGCCCCTTGACGAGCTGTCACCGTTGCTTGTTGTCCGTCTCTGCCCTTCAGATTCCGCCCTACGCTGTTATCCGTACGCATGCGGACGTCTCTGACAACCCCAGACTCTTGGCTCAGCCTTTACCAGCTTCTGTGGCCAGACAATCGGGAGACTCTGAGGCAAGCAAGTTGCAAAGCCATGAATCACAACGGAAGAATGCATGTTCAGGAACAGTTCCATCGCGACAACATGCCGTTGCTTGGTGCTCGCTGATGAGCGCTCTCCCATACTTCCAGAACGGGATGTGCCTTGTACGCGTTCCGTTCAGCCGCCGCTACCTCTCTCCCCATACCTGGTTCTTCTGCCCGGACAACCGGTGCGTAAACCTCGCCGGCCCCCATGCAACGTTTTATTGCGCCTAAGATTACATCTCATCTTGCCCGCCCTGCACTTCCTACTTTGGTTCGACAAACACTCTGCTCACCAGAGTCTCGACTGGTCTAGTTCTCTTGGAATCACAAAGAGGGATCCATTCCTCTACTCTATGGATCCAGATCCCCAATCTGGCACCCATCTCGAAGGCGTCTGCCTCCACTCTTAGGCCAGCTGCCCAGCACCGTTACCGCGCCGCGATCATCCTGCCATCAGTGCTTTCCAGCGCACGCGTGCTCACGGCGACATTTGAATACACACCCTAATTCGGTACCGGTAGCATCTTGTGCTCACTCTCCCGAGCCAGGCGCTCCGGGGTGGGAGAGACCCGGCCACGAGGTGAGGCTCAAAGAGGGACATGTGACATTGCAAGGTACCTTCAGACCGCATAAACCCCTCCCGTTGCCCGACCCGACCACCCTGAGGGCCTGAGACGGGAATGAAGCTTGGCCATGCCATCGCACATTCGACGGGCTGAGATGGCCTCGCCGGGTGTTCGCTGAGTTACACGAGGATTCGCGGATACGATCTTTACGGTACGCGGGCTCGCGTACGCGACCCCCACCGCTCCAAGACTTCCTAGCCCTGGGCTGTCCGGTTCATCCGCCTGCAATCTACGGATACAGGCTTTGCCAGTTCCCCATGACGACGCGGCCTGGACAGCCTTCTTGGAGTGTGGAATCTGGTGACACCGGAGAACAAATTCTGTTTGGGGCACAGAGTTATCCTCGTTATGACAATGCTATTGTGCGCGCAACTCAGTGCGCCGCGGCGACAGTCTGCTGCCGTCTAGCCGGAGGATATTCCGGTTACTGTGCTACGCGCAGTGACGCAAGCTGATGAGAAGGTCACTAAAGTCCGGTTCATCACTGAGCGTTAGCAATAGTGCAGCGTATTATTGCCAGGAGGCCACCCCGAAAAGCTTCTAGAAGGCCGTGTGTTCAACGCAACCTCACGGTCCGTGGCATAATAGTCTATTGAATCACACAGATCTCCCGGGCCACCACATATCCCGAACACACACTAACTACGGGATAGTCAAGCCCCCCAGAGTTGGAAGGGCTGCAGGGCCGCCGTTGGAACTTGAAGATATGGGAGGGATCGAGCCCCGGTCACGTTCCAGCGAAAGCACACACACACACCCACACCCACATCACCATGACGGGTTAACTCGAAGCTTCGTAAAACTTGCCTCGACTAAGGCTAGCTCCGAAACGCCGCATCGATAGCTTAAAGGGACACCAACGACGGTCCAACGGTAACGGCATGCGGGCGTTTGATTGAACTCTCGCGCTTTTGGGGGTCCCAGTCGTAGTCTACAGGTCCTCTGCGCGACTGTTGGCACAATAAAAGGCAAAGGCAAGTTCGGCACAGCTTATTCGCTCCATAATCAGGATTCAGGGATCGTTTTGCTTGTCTTTGGGGAAGTGTTGTCATTAATTCGTAGTTTGTCAGTGTGTTGAGGGTATCTTATCCCGAACCTGAAGCTCCCTTCCCGGCTGGAGATTCTCCAGTCTCCCTTTCTCATGATTCGCACCTTTGACACGGCCAAGTGAGTTTGCCCGGCTTAAACTTCGCTAGCGGAGCCGCATCTTCCAAGATTCTCTCGCCGCCTCTGTTCTTCGAGCTCGGCTATGGCTTCCGTTCCACGCTGGAACGCGAGAACGATATGCTCAGTTCCCACGTCTAACTCGTCAATGACTGCCATATACCTTGTTCGTCTGATGAGGGTATTGGCATGTCAGGTCTAGTTTATATATAGAACCGCAAGCTCTATTTCCCTTTCTCCCGAGCTGCTTCCCATTTTGGAGCTCAAGTGCCCAGGGCTCGCATGGTACATCCTTTTGCCGTGTGATGAAGAGGCCGCCTGGGAAACCGTGTCGATCGATACCGAAGAGCCGCAACCGCAAGCTTCTCGCGTGCATTAAACCATGACTTTCCGGAGATCTCGTCCGTGCGTCGGGATCGGGATCGTGATCTTGATGGGCGTAGCCGCACCCGCTCTCATATAGAATCCCGGTGGCGTGCGGGAAGTGTTTCCGAGCCTCCGTACGCCGTTCGTACCGGACAAATAACGCCGTCGACTTTGTAGGTACTGTAGCATCTCCTTCTATCCGCATCCCGCCATCTTGAGTTTCTTGAGTTGTTGAGTCGAAAGTTACTCGTCGCTGCGGGACGCATCTCGGTCCCCCGGCTCTCAAGCGGATGGGGGAAACACACGCCACCGAAAGGTTCCGCCCTTTTCCAGCTCTCTCTCAGAACCAAGCAAGAGTCCATACAGCAGGCAAGTGAGGCCACCGATCCTGCCACGCAGCCAAGATATCCGGGACCCTCTCATCAAAGCTCGCCCTGCCCGCCGCGCTCCCGCCATCAAACGCCGCCGCCCCGACAGCCTCGCGCTCCTCGGTCGCCGCGGCATTCAACGCGTTCGCCAGATCCAGAATCGCGCGCCCGCCGACGCTGGCCTCCTCGTGGTTATCCTTGATATCGACATTGATCACGTGGACGGGCCTGTTCAGCGGACTCCCGCGGTTCATGAGGTCGTCGATCACGGCGTCCCAGCAGCGCTCCTCGCAGGTGATGACGACGTCGACGACGCCGCCCTCGACGCCGACGCTGCCGCGGTCTTCGGCGTGGGTGAGGCGCGGCATGCCGACCTGCCAGTCCTGCCAGCGTTCGGGCCCCCACTTGACGTGGCGGTTGCGGTCGACCATGTTGAGGACGCCGTTCGCGCGGTAGAGGCGCGTGTCTTTTGACTCGAGCTCTTTGAAGATGGAGTCGTACGAGGTCTTGTTGAATTGGTAGACGTTTGGCTGGGTGATCGAGGGGCCGGGGAGGCGGACGAGGGAGCCTGTGCCGAAGGAGATTACGGGGTAGTTTGCTTGGGCGAGGCGGAGGTGGGAGACCATTGATCTGTTTGATAGAGGGGTGGTCAGTATGTGTTTTCCTCGACTTTGGGCCATGGACACGATGCGAGGATGCGGGCAGTTCCGTAATGACGTTAAAGGGAAGCTCGAATATGCTCTCGCGTGATAAACAATCGGGCCAGGGGACTTGATTGTATCGTACCTATTTTGGTTACTCGCGCACACCGTACAGAACTTGAGCTTGAAGTCGCTTGAAGAAGCAGCAGCAGCCGCAGCATCGCCGCCATTCGCAGGAGGTGCCGTCGAGTTCGCTCCAGCATTTGCGGCTGCTGCGGCGCCGGTGGTGCCATTCGCGACCTCCATGACTCTCGTGGTGATCGATGGGTTTTTGTTTGTGTATGGGTTACTGCGTATGTATGCCGACAGAAAGTGACGATGTTGGGTGGGGCGGGACAAGCAAGCTCGACAGGTACGGCACGGAGTATAGGTATGTATGGAAGCACGGCGCGGGAGCTCCACGAAGGTAGGAAGTGGATATCAATGGGCGCGCGCGACAGGAAGCAGTCAAAATGGATGGATGATTATGGGAAAAAAATGGGGCCGTCAAGAAGGTCACCAATGGCGGGAACAGGCAGAATAATGTTTAGGTCAGCAAGAGAAAGAAAAATAAAAATCAGCGGGTCGGTTACAGAGAGGGAGGGAAAAGTCGAATCGCCGGTGGTCGTCGCTTCCAGTCGTAGAGGTCGTAGCGAAGAAATCTGATCTGTGTCTCCGAATTAGCCAAATATTCAGGAGACCATGTTTTTAGATGCTCGTAGGCATTAAAGAGGTTTGAGCGCGATTTTTCAGACAAAGCGTATAAGGTAATAAAGTGTCTCAACATGGGGAATTTAGACAGCTCCAATAAAAAGAATCTCATCATGGAAAAGCTCGAAAGAGGACGACCAGTGTTTTCTCTGGCTCGTCGCGAGTCTGTTTGTTTCTTACCTTTTGGGGGTGACTTGATCTGCTTCGATCAATGTGCTTCTCTGTGTTCCAACTGTGCCTTCCTGAGAAAGTGTTCGGGAGTGTTGACAGAGTTCTATCTAATCCTCCAGCGATGTCCTGTTGTGGGCTGTTGGAAAGCTCCGAGTTCGACGCTGAAATTTGTTGACGGTTGCAAAGATGGAAGAGCCTCAATGACGTTCTTTTTGAGTGAAGAATTGGACAGCTCGCTTTCGGCTGAATGTCGGGCCTTGAAGGCACCCCAGGGCAGGGCGTGACGAGGGCGCCATCGGATTTATGGCCTCAGGCCTTAGGTTCGCGAACCTGACAATGGCACCTTTTGCCTGAGGCTCACTTGGTTCCGTACACTCACAGCCAAAATGACCCATCTCACGTGGCTGTTTGCGATAAACCAACATAATTGGCTCTTAGGCGCTCACATACTCTGAAACAGACGACACCTTGGAGGGCACCAATCAAGACAACTCTAACATTCCCAATTGCAGCTGCCGTGCACGGCGTACATTGTCCAGAAATAGAACAGCCAATGAGTACAGAGACATCTGATGGCGTGGGACGCTCAGCCAGAGAGGAACCAGCCTCCAAAGACTCTGAGAACGGCATTAATTCGAGCCAACTGCTGGTTCTCGAACGGACGAACAAATGTCATATGTGCACATAGTTGAAAGTCGTTGCCAGTATTTGGGTACAGCGATCGTGTGCGAGATGGGGGCCCTTGACCGTTTCGTCCAGTCCTTGAAGGATCCATGGGCTAGACCTTCTCCCGGGGGATTGCAGTCGGCCCATCAACTATGTGTTGCGGCGCTACTCCGTACCCCTGGGAGGGCTGCCGTAGGGAAGCAGTAGAACTGGATCTGATCATCGGAGGAATATCTGTCTCTCGGGGTTGGCGGGTGGCCTGTGATTCCGTCCGTTCTGAATGTTTTGCTGCGCCCAGCCCAATGCAGCGCTCGCAACTTCCCGCTTCGCCCTAGGCCCAGTCGGGCTGTGCATTATTACTTACGGATACCTTATTCCACTGCAGGGTCGCTTGCGTAGCCTGAGGTGCTGGTTGGTCTCTAGATGTAGGTACCTATGCGTTGACGTACGGTGTCGATGAACCAAGCCCGCCGGCAGGCCGTCCAACAGCAGTTGTTGGCGGCACTCCGACAAAGGACGGGATTCGCTGGCGAATGCAGGCGACGACTGCTTACTGCCTTACACTTTTCCCGCCCTTCTCTGACCACGACAGTTCCATTGTGCTATTGGCAGTGTCGATGACCGCTGTTTCACACGTGGCCGCTGGCAGCGCAAGATGCAGCCGCTGCAAGTTGCAACAAAGTCGTGTCGGGATGTATCCTGCACGGGAGCCCGCCGATCAGCGCTCGAGTTTCGCAACCTCTGAGTACCTTGTTATTAAAGAAAGTTAATTCTTTTTAAGTTATAAGTATAAGAATATAGTTTTAATAAAATAGTATAGTACTTACTTAGTACTTAAATTAAAATACTTTTTAAACTTATTATAAAAAAATAATAATTATATTACTAACTACTTATTATTAAAGTCTATAAGTAGTATTATAGCTTTAATTATAATAGTTTTACTTATAATAAGTAAAAAGTCTAATTATAAGTCCTTTAAAAGCCTCTCCTTAAGAGCTATAAAAGCCTTTAAGTTAAGTTAAAATACTTACTAAAATATTAATAACTAAACTAACCTTATAATAATAACTTTAATAAAAAACTTAGTAAATAATATTAAAAACCTTATTAATATTAAATATAATTTATAAAGTATAATAACATAGCTATAAAATATTATTAATATATCCTATATTAAAAAGGGTATTATTAATATTAATAAAATAAATAGGGCCGTATTAATATAATACCTTAGCTTCTTTTTATAATTTAAAAATAATTACTTTAAATAGTATTAAAAGTCTATTAAAAAGTTTTTTTAAATACTTTAGTATATTTATTACTATTTTTATAATAATAAGACTTTTAGTATTTATATATAAAAATAAGTTACTTATTTCTAAATAGTAATACTAACTTATTAATAAGCTATTGAAATTGCGATTTTAGCGATCCCTTAATAAGGGAGAGGGTAAAATAGAAGAAAGGATAGGTAATTTATAAAAAGGGTTGAGGTTAAATAGTGCGGAATTCGAGGGTAGGGTAGCGTCTACATGTACTGTGGTAATCCTCTAGTAATATAAAACGATGGAGTTAAATAGTGGAGTTTCGTAACCTCGCCCTATCCGTAGGCCCGTAGGGGCATTCTCATCCACCCTGGTGACTGAAGTTGATACCGCAATTTCGACTGAAGCCCATCCGTCGGCTTGTGGGTTGCCCCACGGTTGGCACTGATGATCGGGAGATGCAGCTAACGAGATAGCGCATGGCTAAGCACAAGATGGCTGTTTGTGCTTCAGGCTGTCCGTTCACTGGAGATTTCCCAGATCTAGCACCCGGCACCATCGTATAGAGGTTTTGAGCATTAAAGTCCAAGTTAGCGAACGCGAAGGAGAAGAGCGTGACGCGGTGCTGGTTATCAATCTTGTGTTGACGTTCTCTGCCCTAGCTAGGTCTGTTCGCGACTTCGCTCAACAATCATGGGATGAGAGAGCGATCAACCCACTCTCAGTCAGTCCAGGCCCCCAGCAGGTGTACTCAAAGATTCCCGCTGTTACGGTTCGGACTAAAAAGCGAGACTCATGTCAGTGGACGACCGCTTCTGGATACTTTGTGATTTGCGCCGGGGACGTCCTCGCTAATCAGCTGTGGGCCGGGCTGCTGTCTGACCTTGGTGCGACCTGAACAGGAATCTACGCCGGCCTATGCTGGAGCACCCAATATTGGTTTCCTTGATGACAGCCCGGCCAAAGACCAAGAATAGCATCTGGCACCGCTTTTGCCTTGTTTGAAGCCTTCTTCCTTCTGTATCTGGTGAAGATTCTAGGCCGTTGCCACGGAGAAAGAGTGGGCGAAAATCAGAGTGTCTAGAAAGAGGATTCCAATTTACATGCCCCCAGCATTCGCCCTTCAGACAAAACGGACGACCCCCTGTTTGCTGCCTGCTCGTCCGTTCCGTGTAGGCCGGAATAAACGGTGGGTACCATGGGTAAGTCGGGCCGGAGGTGGTAGCAGTTCTTTGCCCAGATTCTTGCTGGACAAGACCGGAGATCACGGGCGGCTCTGGGAGAATAAAGTTTGAGCTGAAAACGAGACTTTCTAAAGGGGAAGTAGGCATCCTATAGTCCATACCCAAGGTGCGGACGGACGGCCATCATAGTGTCAGGTTTGCCTAATGAAGGGTGTGAGACTGAACAACGGACGGTCGAGTCAATTGGGTATTTGCGGGCGGAACATGAAGCAGAGCGAAGCAGCGGCACACGGCCACGCGGGGAAGAGGTCTGCTTCAGCGTCCCGTCCTTGGTGTGCGCGTCCACCGGTACAGTCAGGCTCTTTAGGTTGTAACCGCACCGGCGGCGAACGCGTAGGCACAGTCATCGACAGGGAAGACGATGTGAGGCTCCCGAAGGGATCCCCTTGAGATGATGGCACCGTTGTGGGAAAAAGGGGTGGGGGAAAGAACTGTGAAGTGCGTAATGAGTATCTGCTTCGTCGCTCCCTGATATTAGGGCCGTTGGAAGCTAGAGCACGACGGGTATATCGAAGCCACCCCGACTGCAAGACAGATGCGGATAACTGCGGGAAGATGAGAACCCGTCTGTGGGCTGGAGCAACGACACTGCAAGCAGAGATGAGCAGCAGTCAAGTGAGGAACATGAGGCAGTACACACCAAGGTAGGTAACTACCTCGCCTGCAGTCCCACTGACAGCTCAATGTACCTTGAGTTCTGCGCGGCGGAGGAGGGCGTATTCGTACACAGGCGGGGGACATCAAGCCCCCGTGCCCTGCCCGCGCAGGCGAACAACTGAGAGCGCTTGTGTAGACGACAGAGGAGAGAGAGAGGAGCAGTGGCAGACGTACTTGAGATTTGAGGTTGCCCTGGGGCGTGTTGAAGTTGGTGGTCTTGGCGTTACCATGTTGAACCGGACGGACCCCTGCAAAGCAGCTGCACAGCATCTGGAGACATGGAGCTGTTACTGTTTTTCTGACAAGTCTCCAGAACATGATATCCACGAGGGCGTGTAGGACGACGGAGGTGCCTTTCTAGTTCAGATCTGACGTTGGCAACCGCAGTGTGCTGCATATATACGAAATGTGACTTGTAGGGTGGTAGGTATCCGCAATAGAGAAGAAAGGAGGCAAAGAGCATCCCTTCCACACCGGATACGGGTAGAGATCCAGCCAGTTGACGCCGGCCGATTGCAGAGGATGGGAAAGAGACACCGATTGTTGGCGCTGACTCGATTTGGAGCCGAGTTGGGGCTTCTCTCATTATGGCACTGGCATCTGCTGGCTGCTGTGTTGGAGTTTCTTTGAGAGTTCGCCGCCATAATTAATATCGATCCGGATTCAGCCCCCCGCTCTCTCCCACTCTCGCATCTGGGCTAGGTATGCCTTCCAATGCCTGACGCACTCCTGGATCCTGCGCTGTCGTTGCTCTTGTTCCCGCCTGCTGCTGTCAATCGTTTATTGCTGTAGCATTTCCTTCCACTACCTATTTGATCTTACTAGAAGAAAGTCATCAGCCTCTTCCTCTCTCTTAGGGTTCTCCCAAGAGTCCTAATCCATACTCCCCTCTCCTTCTCCTTCTCTACCGCTCTCGGCCTCTTACTCACGCCCGTTTGTTGTGCTGGCCTTTGTCTCCTCCCCTCCCATCAATTCCCCCCTCCTTCTCTGCCCCCACCCTCTCTACCTTAGGTATTCACATCAACCACCCCTCACCCCCCTTCCCGCCAGGTCCAACTGCACACAGCCAGTAGGATCACTGCGCGACGCGCTTAGAAGCAGCAAGGTGCAGTCCCAGTGCGTTGGAGGTTGATGGTCAATGGTCGATGCCCACTGTCTGTTCTTCGTCCCTCGCTCTCCAAGACCGAAACTCAAAAAGTAGCTGGAGTTAGTGGAAGGGGTAAGTGGTCCGCTCACAGGTCCTGATGCCAACGTTGGAAAAAAAGACTCTGGTGTTGCTTGGGCTTGGCCGTACTCCGTACTCCCCATAAGGTGCTCGCTCACTGACCCAGTTGGTCCTACCAGAAGAAACCCTACGAAAACCAAGTATCCATCCACAGCTGTGGTACTTGGAGATCGTGTCATTGCTCGACGGCCACTAGAGGTAGTTGGGTACATATCTCCGTACCTCGAGGTACCACGGGAATTAGTCGCACCTTCAGTCCAGCGTGGGTCAGCCCAGAGTCCAGAATCCAGAAGTCCAAGAGTCCAGTCAAATCTGTGCTCACTGCTGCATCGTCTGGTGCGAGCAAAGGACGCAAAGGCACGGCCACTTCTACCTGAGCTCTCTGCTCTCTCTGCTCTCTCTCTCTCTGGATGCGTCGTGGGCTCTGTTGTCTGTTGTCTGCTGACTGAGGAGGTGTTTGCTTGTTGTCTGCATCATTGTAGGTACCTTCCCTGTTGCCTACTACCAGACGACGGGACTTTCTTTTCGAGTACCTTTACCTCGTGCACCATATCGCAATATACCTCTTATTTTTATTTTTCTCTCCCCTACTGCTGGCACCTCACCTCGCAAACCCACCACCACCACCACCACCTAACCTGCGCGGCACCAGCAAAGAAGCGACGGGGACACTCTCTTTCTTCGCAGCGCAGCGGCTGCCCAGCACCAAAGAAGCAGAGCAGCCAGAACGGCGCCAGCGACCTGAACCCAAACGAACTATTCCCAACCTCACCTTCCCTCCTCTTCCTCCTCTTCCCATCTTCTCCTCTTCCCACCGTTTCTTCTCTTCCTCCCCATCGCTCTCCGCATCCTGTGCTCTTCTTTCTTCCATCTTCATTATTGTCCTGCCTACCCCCGAGCGACCCCGCGAGCCGATCTCATCGCTCGTCCGCTCCCGGCTTTAAGTTCTCAACGCTCCTTACTCGATTTCCAACCCTCAGCGTCGCGTGCGACGACTTTCGTTTTGCGACACCTTGCGAGCAAGCCCGCTTGCTGTTGCTCCGCCTTCTTTTCAAACCCCAACTCTGTTCGTCTTCGCCTTGCTCGGAACTGTGATCCTCGCAGTCTGCCCGCCCGCCCGCACCTCCTCATAGGCTAATCGGCTCCGAGTCGCGGGCAGCATAACTCACGATAACACTCGCGCAAACCCTCAAATTCACAGCCTTCGTCGCTCCCGACACTAGCTGTTGCCAATCGAATTCCTACTACATTTTCCGCGCGACGAGTGCGGTCGACGGTCCTACTGAGCACTTGGCTTGCTTGGTGGCACACGACGCCGCAGGATCCGCGAATCGGGTGCCTGTCATCCTTACGCTGGCTCCTCCACGATTGCGATAATCTCAGAATGACCACACTCTTGTCCCAGAGCTCCTCGCCCGCGACATCCCCACCTGCAGCTGCTTCTCCCTCCACCAACCCGAATCACCCCTCACTACCGCCACTAATAACATCACCACCCAGCCGTCGCTCGACCGCACCGAGACCAATGTCGCACGCTTCCAAAAATCGCTTGTCGCAATACTCGACGGGCTCAGTCCCCTCGCGTTCGCGACCGCCTTCTCACATATTTCCAATGTTTCCCTCGAGTCTCTCCTACACCCTGGTGCGCGATTTCGCATATCCAATTATGCATCCCATGCATTATGGTCCCCCGCCAGAGCCGTCGCATCCTGCTTCTGGCCTCAGCACTCCCCTCAGCGAATCTCGTCGTCTATCCGATCCTCCCGCTGCCTGGGAAACGAAAATGACCTGGAATACTGGCTCCTGGGGCCCAGAGGGCTTCGGCAAGGCCCACGACCTGCCACCCATGGAATTCCGGGATGGCCCACCCTGGAGTGAGGATGAGGATTTGGCGAGCCCTGTTGTCAGCTCCAGGCACCGAAAGCACAAATCTTCCGCAGCAGCCCTTGGCGGCACCGCAGCCGCAGGGCTGAGAAATTCTCGCGACGCGGGCAACGATATGCTGCACCCAGCACACTACGAACAACGGGAACGCGGTTACTACGTCGGAACGAGTGGTGATGGCAGCGAACGGTATTACCTCAACCAAGGAGGTGAAGCGAATGGACCCGGCGGAGAATATGTCACCTACCCTCCCGGCGATGCACGGCATTCCAGCCACGCATACCAGCTAGGTGACCTGCCCCCGCGGCAGTACGCCGAGCAGGAGACATATTCGGATGCTTCAAGCTCCGCATCCTCTCCAGGTTTCCGCGGCGATGACCAGTCACGATATTCCCGGGATTACCAGTTCACCATCACGTCGCCCGACGAAGAAATGCACGGCAAAGCTGTTGCGCTTTTTGACTTTGAAAGAGAGAACGAAAACGAATTGCCATTACTGGAAGGTCAAATCATATGGGTTTCCTACCGCCACGGCCAAGGCTGGCTAGTAGCCGAAGACCCGAAGACTCAGGAAAGCGGACTCGTCCCTGAGGAATACGTTCGTCTGCTGCGAGATATCGAAGGCGGAATGAATAGTCTGACCGGTAATCTTGGCGAGGGCTCTACGTCCCCCAATGATGTTGGAACACCGACGCAAGCAGAGCACCACCCACAAGGTCATACACCGACCGGAAGCCAGTCCTCTTCCAACGGATACCACCAGCCCGTGGTCTCGACGTTCTCTACGTCCAGCAAGGACTTGGACCCGTACCCTACACAGCAGCTTGGCCTTCAATCCGGCCAACCTCCTCCGCAAGTGGTGCATTACCACGGCCAAAGAGGTGGTAGCCAGGCCAACACGCCAACTCTAGCTTCGCACCAGGATATCGGCATGATGCGCCGAGGCAGTCAGGACACTGGGGCGAAGAAGACGGATTCCCAAGTGAGCCCCTTGACGGAGGCGATCACAGAGAGCAAGCTAGTCGACCGATCTAGCACACCCAAAGCAACAAACCCCACCGAGAAACCCGCAGACCCCGACACCATGGACACTGAGCGGTGATGAGAGACGACCAAGAAGCATTCACTCGCGTCTGACTTGAGGGACTTCTTGCTTGGCAGGTTCTCTTCTCCTCTGGGGACCTGTCACGAATCATGTACTATGAGGAACGTTAGGGAGGAGCGTTTCTGGTTTCGGTTTGACGATCAAGAGGCGTACAGTTGTTATATTTCGGGAGACATAAAGAGAGAAGAGCCCCTGGTCGGTCGCTTTCAGCATGTAGCTTGGATGATGGAAAACTTTATGATCAAGGGCCCAGGTGGAGGGACGCATCAATATTGAAAAACAAGGATGAAAGACGGCTTGCTTCGCCATCGAATGCCCGGGACTACGTCAGATCCCCTTTAAAGACGGTGTGGAGTTTACCGTATTTTTAAGTCCACGGCGATTGAAGCTGTCGGCTTGTATATAATAATCGGGGTGATCCCCTGTTTTCTCCTCTTGGGGAATGTCAAGAAACGTTTCTTTAACATCTCTAGCCGATTGTCTTTGTGGATTAATTTGCCTACTGGTGCAAACCGTGGACCAGATTCACAGCTGGTTCTTGGCCAACGCTTGCGCCCAAATGTGCCTGTTCACTGCTGGCAGAGGTATGGCGCAATTCGTAATGAGCCTTTTGGAGCACGTTGTCCATTCTGCTTAGAAATGCACATCAGTTATCCCCATGGGCTTCCCACCGGCACGCCGCTAACTGTGCCCATCCCCTCGGCCAGTTCGGCGGGGATCGGACGCAGGAAACATGAGCTCACGTGACATTTTACGTCATGCACAGGTCAATGGTCGCCCGGGGAAAGCTTTCCATTGCGGGCGGCTTTGAGCTTCTGTTGCGAGTCTCGGATACCTAAGCTTCTCTCTCCCAGCAGCAAAAAAAACATCCTTTGGTTCATTTCCCAATCACATACCTGTCAATTACCTTTCCCGGCTGCTTGAAAACTTTCAATTGAACCATCACAATGTTTGCCAGAACCGCCTTCAGGGTCGCGCAGCCCCTCAAGCTGGTAAGATAGCTGACGCTGTTCCCTCTCTCTCCATCCTTCGCTCATTGGAAATCCTCGTTTCCCCCCGCGGGTCGCGGAGCGGTTCCCGAGTTGCGATTCCACCCGTTCAAATACATCATACCACCTTTGCCAACATCACAACCCCATCCTGGCCCCTCCCAATGAAACAATGATTTCCTTTTACCCTCTTGAGGCGATGAGCAATGCAAAGGCTAACCAATTTTCTCCCATAACAGCAAGCCCGTCGCTACGCCACCGAACCCGCCGTCAAGGGCAGCAGCTCCAACACGGCGCTCTACGCCGGCGGCGCGGCCGCCGTCGCGGGCGGCGCCTACTACTTCCTTGCGGGAGGCTCCTCGGGCGCGGCGCAAAAGGCCGAGGCCAAGGTTAAGGAGGCCGTCGGCGCGGCGCCCAAGAAGGCGCTCACGGGCGGCGACCAGGGCTTCGTGTCCCTGAAGCTCGAGGACTCCGAGATCATCAACCACAACACCAAGAAGCTGCGCTTCAAGCTGCCCGAGGACGACATGGTTTCTGGTCTCGACGTCGCGAGCGCCATCTTGACCAAGTACAAGGGTCCCGAGGACGAGAAGGCTACGTTGAGGCCTTATACTCCTACCAGCGATGAGGGTTCGTATTCCCCCCCGCCCTTGGTTTCTTCTTAGGAGTCCTGATCATGCTGCTCGATACCCGAGACTAACAACACGACAGACGCCAAGGGCTACCTCGAGCTCATCGTCAAGAAGTACCCCAACGGCCCCATGTCGACGCACATGCACGACATGACCCCCGGCCAGCGCCTCGACTTCAAGGGACCCCTCCCCAAGTACGCCTGGTCCCCCAACAAGCACGAGCACATCGCCCTCGTCGCCGGCGGCACGGGCATCACGCCCATGTACCAGCTCGCGCGCGCCATCTTCAACAACCCCGAGGACAAGACCAAGGTGACGCTCGTGTTCGGCAACGTGACGGAGGAGGACATCCTGCTCAAGAAGGAGCTCGCCGAGCTCGAGAACACGTACCCGCAGCGCTTCCGCGCCTTTTACGTGCTCGACAAGCCGCCCAAGGAGTGGAGCGGCAACAAGGGCTTCATCAGCAAGGAGCTGCTGAAGCAGGTCCTCCCCGAGCCCAAGAGCGAGAACATCAAGGTTTTCGTGTGCGGCCCCCCCGGGCTGATGAATGCTATTTCTGGTAACAAGAAGAGCCCTAAGGACCAGGGCGAGCTTGTTGGTACCCTCAAGGAGTTGGGGTACTCTCCTGAGCAGGTCTACAAGTTCTAGGGCGTTTTTTTCTTTTTGGCTTGTTAGATGGAGGGGCAGTCTAGATGTCGTAAAGAGCGTCGAGGAGAAGAACCTTATTTGTTGTATGAGTAGCTGAGGCGAATAGACGCATTAGATTCCTCAATGAATGCTGGCGGTTTGCGTATATCATATCATTCTAGTGGAGTGAGGACCTCGGCGAGGTTCTCGGAATGGAAGTCTATCTAATCCGGTGAATCATGCGAACTTTCCGCTCGTCGGTTCGAGGTATACGTGACTGAATACCCACATGCTCTTCCCTCAGTCCCTATCTACGTACGGCACCTGCCCTATATATACCCTCTCAGCGCCAATTCCGTCACCAGTCAGCAGGCGCCCGTCTAGGTCGACGGGTCAGGTCAAAACTGGCTGGGTGGTGGAGTGGTCTATGGTCAACAATCAAATCAATAACGCCAATCAGCCTTACTCGACGACAGGCTTAGCGAAAAGTACCCGAGTTCGAATCCCAGTATGAGCACCAGAGATTTCCCAGCATGTGCACCAAGAGATGTAGCCCCCAGTCCAGCACCGGGGGGGTGAACTCTTTTTTCTTTCATTAACTTCGAGACCTTTTGAATGCCGACTTTTGAGTATATTGACTAGATAGCTAGTCACTGAAAGGGGGGTTAAATAACTAGAATAAGACGGAGATTTCTTCTCAATGTTCGGAGGATATGACTCTTTATTTTTTATTTACTACTCAAGAATACGGTGATTGCTAAGTACAGTATAGAGTGTAGTACATTACGGCTATTTTGCAACCTATACTTCTGGGTTTCAGAGACTCTTGGTGGCGGAGGCGATGCACTCGTTGATGATGCCGGTCCACTTGAGAGCGTTGTTGAAGTCCTTAGCATCGATGCTCTCCTGGAGGCCAGGGAAGACGGCTGGATCATACATGTTAGCGTTACAACTCATCAGGAACGGTCTAGGTGGCAAAACCAAAGGGAGGAAACACGGAAAAAAGGGAGCTTACCTCCAGAATACCCAGTCCACAAACCAGGCGCAAACACAACGTGCTTGAACCAGGTCCGGCCGTCCAGGCCGCCGGGGTACAAAAAGTTGCGCTCGAAACCCTTGTAAGACCTGTTGACCCAGACGAAGGCCAGGGCTAGCTTGATCTTGCGGTAGAGGTTCCACCAGGGGATACTGCCGTACTTGAGCTCCCAGTCGACCTCGCCGGCCTTTGTGTCGAGCACCACCGTCTTCTCGCGCAGGGCAGCGATGGAGGTGCGGAGGATCTGGAGCGAGGTGCGGAACTGCGAGAGGGAGCCCTTTGCGTCCGCGTCGGCGACGGCGACGGTGGCGCGCATGCGGAAGAGCGCGTCCTCGTCGGAGTCTACGTCCTCGATGGTAGCGGTGAGCTTGGCCTCGACTTGGTCGACGTAGCCCGTCAGCGCGTCGGCGTAGTCGGTGGCGTTGAAGCGGATGATGGGCACGTTGGCGAGCTCTGCGACGACGAGGCCGAGGATCTGGGCCATCGTGCGGTGGTAGACGAAGCCTGGGTCGCCGAATTCCTTCATCCAGTGGAAGGAGTCGTAGTTGGAGTGGTACTGGTAGACGACGTCGCCGTTCTCGCCGCCGAAGCCGAAGTCGAGGGAGGGGATGCCCGCGAAATCCTGGAAGGCGGTGAAGTCGGAGCCGGAGCCCATGGTGCTGATGCGGCCGTCCCAGACGTCGGCGACGGTCTGGCCGGGGATGGTCTGGTTCGGGGAGGGAACGAGCTGGGTGACCTCGCGGAGGACGCGGTGGAGGAGGGGTGCGGCGGAGGGGTTGAAGTTGGGGCCGCGGACGCCGACGTCGACGTTGACGTAGGCGACGGACGCTTCGGTGAGCCAGGGGAGGTACTCCTCCACCCACTCGGTGCTGCCGATCAGAGAGTACTCTTCGCCGTCCCAGCTGGCGAAGACGATGGTGCGGGTGGGCTTCCAGCCGCTGGCGAGGGCGACGCCGACGCCGCGGATGACTTCGTTGAGAACGGCGGAGCCGCTGTTGGGATCGCCGGCGCCACCCGCGATCCAGGCGTCGCGGTGGTTTCCGACGACGACGACCTCGTTGGGGATGGTACCGTTGACGATACCGATCACGTTCCACAGTGATGTGGTGGTGTAGTTTTGTTCGTTGTAGAGGTTCAGGACCACGTTATCGGGAGTGGGACCAATGTTGTACTCAACGCCCTTGTACTTGAGTCCGAGATTCCTGTTCCAGTACTTGTTGAAGTCCTTGACGGAGGGGCCGTGGCCGTTGAGAGCCTTGAGAATGGGGAGGGCATCAGCGTAAGAGATCGGGATGGAGGGGATGGAAGGCGTAGCATCGTCGACGGGAGCACGCGGCGCGCCTGGCTTGGAGGGGTACCCAGGAGTGGACGGGTCACCGGGGCGCTGGGAGAGGAACTGGGCGCTTCCGCGCTGAACGGCGCTCGGGTGACGGGCAGGGCCGTTGGGGTACGCCTCGTATCCGTTCTCCTCGGTCACCTTGCCATCATCGCCGGGGTCGCTGTAGAGAAGAGCACCGATGGCACCCAGCTCCTGGGCGCGCTTGATCTTGAGGCCGCGGAAGATACCGCCGTACTTTGCAATGACGATTTTGCCCTCGAGGCTGACATTGGCCTTGACGAGGTCTTCGTAGTCCTGGTACGTGCCGTAGTTGACAAAGACGAAAGATCCGGTGACGTTACCGCTGGCGGAGTAGCCGTGGAAAGTCGGGACTCTGTCCTCCAAGCCGGAAGAGGGGTCTTCTTCGAGGACGTCCTCCTCGAGAGCAGCCTTGAACTCTACCGTCCAAGTAGACTCTTCTTCCTTGGTCTTGGACAGAAGGGAGAGACTATGGTCGATGGGGTAGTTCAGGTAGACGTCGTACGACACGATTTCGGATTGCACACCCCACGACTCCCACTTTTCCTTTGTCCATGCGGCCTGTCACACATTGTAAGATGGTAGTCCCGTAATGACGGCTGCAATATGCTTACCTGAGAGTAGTTCTGGCCCGCCAGATGGGGACCGGCAGTGTAATACCTGCTCCATTCCTCGGCCTTTTCGGATGAGGGTACCTCAAAGAAGATCTTTTGCACTTCCTCGTGGGTAATGGGGACACTGTCGACGCTGTTCGTCCAGGACCAGCCGTGATGGTGGTGACCGTGGTGACGAGGAGGCTCATCAATGAAGAGCGCAACTACGAAGAAGATGGACCAGAAAATAAGGATGGAAGAGAGTGCAACGGTGCAGAACCGGCGCAGGACGTGGTTCGGGTACCTGCGGCGCGGCGCACCGATGTAGACATTGGTGATAAGCGGCGTCCGCTCATTAGACATTTTGTCGTCGAAACGCTTTCTGGATTAAGATCAGCGTGAA